GCTCGTGGAGACTGAGGAAGAGAAAAGGAAGCAGGAAGAGGAAACTGCTCAGGTAAGGCATTCTCCAGCTTTTCCCATTTAGTTAGTAAATGAGAGAAAAATGATATGCAGAAGACTGTGTGCATATGTTGCAGTTGTGAAAAGGATTTTGTCCTCAAAATGCAGTTTCAATTAAAAGTTTATAGTGCCAGAGTAATTATATTTTTTTCCAAAGTACAATTTTCAGTGGTTTTCTTTACTTGGGCTCTGAATGTTTAGTTTTTCATAGCTTATCCTCTTCCAGGTATTGTAATGATTGTTGTCACTGGTGGTGAGCAATCTCAGCTAAGGAGATGTGATCAGATCTCTTAAATATCTAAATGAAGGAGCTGGAGGAGTTGTTGCCTTCTAAGAGCCCATTCTGGATTCAGCTGCTGGATCACTTAAATAATGTTCCTGCCTGAAGCTAGACCCAACAGCAGAAGAACAGGGGTGGGGGCTGGGAGAATTTTGCTGACTAGACCTGGCTTCATACTTACCTACAAAACACTCAGTCTTCATTCTGTAATCCTATTTATCTAACATGTATGCTTCAAAAGTGATACCCTGATTTTTATTTTTGCTATTTGGCAACAGTGACTGCAACAATTAATGTTAATTCACTGTGTCTCCCTAAAATGGAGCTCTCTGTTTGCTGTAAGTGATGGAGTGAGGCTTTTTTCCTACTGAAAGGGCTCTCCAAGTGGAGTGGTTCTGAAGGAGAGATGAGTTAGCTGTGTTTTCACTCGGTGCCATAAACCCAAATAGATTTTTTTCTTCTGTTACGGAGATGACAGTGTTGAGAGATTCTTCTTCTTATTCCATCTCCTAGCAAACAAGCAATCTGGCCAAACCTGCTGTGACAGTGTGCAGAAAAACAAAAACTAAATCAGTAAACCCCACCTTTTGTGTTTTTTGTGTTCTGTGGACCATGATGTACCACGGTTTAACACAGAGAATGGGAGAATTTACAGGAGAATTTTCAAACCAGGGATAATGGGTCACAGTACAGACTTTTTGGTTATCACTGATATAATCAGTATTTGTAAACTGAGTAAATCAGACATTTGTCTGAGAACTGGAATTTCATAAGAAGCAGCTGTAGAGATGTAAACACAGCGAGACATGAAGAAAACAATCTGATGATGCATTTTGAGAAGTTCTGTCAGTGTACTGTGTAACTTCTCTCCTTCAATTCCTAGCTGAAGGAAGTCTTCAGGAAGCAGCTGGAGAAGGCAGAATCTGAGATCAAGAAAACCACAGCCATTATTGCAGAGTATAAACAGGTACCATTCCAGAGACCCTCTTTCATATTTCTTCTCTCAGCCTGTTACAGGAGCTGAATTTTCAGCATTGCAGATCTCATCCTTCAAATAAGCTCCACCTTTCAGGCTTTTGGAGAGCAATGTTGTAATTTGTCATAAATCTTCTTGTGGCTTCCCTGATAGTCTTCTAATTAGGCAGTCAGGAATAACCTGTCTTTCAGCTAATTTTAGTACTGTAGGGTGAATGCTTCTGTACTTTGTGACGTAATGCAGTATAAACATCATAAATCAACCCATCCATAAAATGTCCCTGTCTCTGTGTTCTGTTCTGTATTGAATACTGCTGGGTTTTTATCATTAGCAGCAGCAGCAGTGGAGTTGTTAAGGGGGATGCATATCCCTGAGTGAGGCAGAATTTAAGAAATGTTGGTTCTAGCAAAAAACATAGTTAAAAAACACAGATTCTACTTTAGTATAGTAAACATGAGCTAAGAGACTGCTTTCTTTGCTCCAGATTTGTTCCCAGCTGAGTACCAGGCTGGAAAAACAACAAGCGGCCAGTAAAGATGAACTGGAAGTTGTGAAGGTGAGAACAATGTCTACACAGGGGATATTTCTAATGCAAGTGTTGCTGAACACCAGGGATACAGAAACTTGAACTGAAGCTTAAAGTACATCATCGCCCCACATGCATTTTTCAGCAGATGTAAACAAGGAAAGGGTTTACTTCCTTTCATGGTTCTTTTATCTTGCATGAGATAGTGAGGAACTCTCAAACTGAAGTGTGTTTAGTACTTGCCTTTTTGCTGTTAAAATATATACTTCCGGTAAAAAATGTAGAGAAAACAGTATTTACTTGGGTGTTTTGATAAAAACACCTTGGATGTTAACTGATAAAAAAAGAAGACCCTCTGGAAGACAAAACATGTTGTTTCTCAAGTGTGCACAGCAGAGGGATTGGAATTGGCCAGATTGGACAAGGTTTATATTTCGGTTTCTATAATTTAAGTAGAATTGGTTTAAATAATTAAACCAAATGGCACAGCTAGGGCCATCCCCAGAATATCCACAGGGGTTCCTCTCCCTTCTCTAAACCACTTACCAGGAACACCTACATAAGAGCAAAACATTTTGTGATAGGTAATAATAATAATAATAACAACAATAATGATTCAGAGTAGGCAGAGCTGTTCACACTCTGCTGTAGCTTCTCCATATTTCTTTAGTACTCAAGCTGAACTGGATTTTTTGCTTTTTAGTGACTGTTTAATGTTATTGATAATAATATAACATAATTCTAGGATTGATGTTCCTAGATTCTGCTGAAATAGCTCAATATCCTGTTTTAGTCTGTGCAAGCCAGGCCAGCTGTTTCATCTACTCAGATTTAATTTACTCTTCTGAGTTGTGCTGACATAAATATTACAAAGCTTTGAAGCAAGAAGTTTCTAATATAGGAGCAAAGTCTCTGTGCTTAGAGCATGCTGAGTAGATTTTAGGAATTTTTGTACTGGTTAACATACCCTGGAAATTGTTCATGAACTACTCAAATTCTTTTCATGCCAGTTATAAAAACTGCAGTACTAGATGGTTTGAGATTGAGGCAGTGTGACAAATAAAATGGCTGTTCCAGGAAGTACAGCAACTCCTGTAACACGGATTAAGAATGAGCTTTCTGGGTATTTCAGGGTAAAGTGATGGCCTGCAAACACTGCAGTGAGATTTTCAGCAAGGAGGGGGCACTGAAGGTGCCTGCTGTAAGCATGGACAACAAAGGCATCGAAACAGATGATGAGAAGGATGCACTGAAGAAGCAGCTGAGAGAGATGGAGCTGGAGCTTGCACAGACCAAACTGCAGCTTGTGGAAGCCAAGTGCAAAATTCAGGTACGTGAAATGCAAGTACAGCAGGGTGGTCATCTTAACCTCATGCTCTGTCCAAAATTACTCTGAATCATGCAAAAAATTGTTCCAAAAGGGAGTACATACCTGCATGCCTGTATATCTCAACTTTCAGAAAAAAATTCTGTCTTAAGAAGGAGATGATGATTTTATTTGTGTGTCTAAGTATTCTCTCCCCAGTGCCTGGGAGATTGCAAGGGAAGTGCAATGACCGAGTGTGAAGATGCTTCTTTGTTAATTAATTAGGTTTTGATAAATTCTGACTATTCTGCTTTCTTAGGAGCTGGAGCACCAGAGAGGAGCCCTTATGAATGAAATCCAAGCTGCCAAAAACTCTTGGTTTAGCAAAACCCTGAACTCTATCAAAACGGCCACGGGCACACAGGCACCTCCGCAGCCCCAGCCTCCCCTGCCTCCCAAAGAGGGCAGCACATAGTTCCAGCCACAGCCGGCACAAGAGCACAAAGAACAACACAGCTGAAACCTTGGAGGATTCTTCCAGTGGTCTCTCCTCCTGGGCAAAGGACAATGAGGCAGGAGTGCAGGCTTGAAGTGAAATTCTTCAGTGTTTTTCATTAATTTTCTGATGTGACCCTTTTCAAAGCGGGGGGGAAATAAAAAAGTCCTGGTTTATGTTGAATTCCTACTTCCCATACTGCCTTGCTGAAAGCCACGTTCTGATACCTTCATACTTTTACACTTTATTTTATATGACTAGATGTTAAATAAATATTTCAAAACTAGGTCTTTAATACACATCTAATTTGAAATTATTTTTGTCTTGCATAGAAGGTTTTTCTTCTGGAGGAAGAGAGAGAATGGAAAACGTACAGTACTACAGCATAATCTCTCCCTAGAAAGCACAGTGTAAGACATTGAGGATAACTTAGGCCCTGGGACCATCTCAGAAGTTTATCACAGCAACTGCATCCTGCAGAGAAGCACTTTTTGTAAAGCTTAGGCCATAGCAAAGATAGGCTTGTGCTCTCCTGGCACAACTGCTATGAGCTTCCCGTACAACTTCTTAGTTTGGATTGGTTTATCTTCAGAAATACAAGCAGTGCCATTTTTGTAACACTGTTGTTTAAAGGCTATTTACAGCTCAGCTGGAATTTAACAGAAAGTTCCCTAGTTCCCTTTTTTAATTCATGTTTATATTAAGAATTCCAAGGAATAATTCCTTCCACTGGGACAAAGGGGGAACTATTTTGACGCTTGATGTTTTTGCTGAGAAGCAGAGTGGAGACCTTGCATGGTTTTGACCTTTTGTAAATCCTGTGCAATAAAGGGTAGGTTTTATGAATAAAAGTAATGAAAACCTTGCCCTGGGTCTATATTCAGATTCCAAATTTGACATGGAAATAAGGTATCAAATAAAACACCCAAGAGGCTTGTGCTGCACTGATGAATAAAATACCATAGAAACAAGATCTGTTTGCTTGAAGTATCTGGTTAGGAAACACTTTGTTGATCTTACTTATTTTTTATAAAAACAAGCGTTTTCAAGTGGAATACAAGCCCTAGACTTTCCTGTGAGGGTAGACTTCTCTGGTGATTCCCAAACCTGTCTGGTTGTTTTATATTTCTTAAGGTAAGAAGTTTCAAAAGCATTTGTTTTGACTAAACATAAAGTGTTCATAGAAATACTTATTTCATGGGAAATTAAACTATTGCTTGAACTGATGGAATATTTTTTTAATTATATGTGTCATGTCTGAAGATGGTCTTGCAGGTAAATGTCATTGCTGGACTAAATGTTGTGTATTAATTGTTTCATTTACAAGGTTTTTCCAGGGACACTAGTTCTGTTTTGATCTTTTTTTTTTTTAATTCTAAGGAATGCCATACATTGTCAGTTTTGTACAATAAAATTTAATAATACCCATCTTGTGATTTGTTGTCAAGCATAATTGTGAATTATTTTCAACAGGGTAGTACAAATTTAATGTTACCAGTGCCAAAGGAAAGATTCTAAAAGGCAGTCAGCTGATAGAAGTAGAGCTCAAAATATAATCACCATCCTGAAACAATTCTCTCTTCTAAGAATAAGGGGTTAAAAAACTTTAATATTTTAAAATGTACCTTCAAGAACGTATCATCTGGAATTATTAATACAGTGAGGAACAAAAGGGGGAAAACAGAAGGTACTTCTTTTGCAAATGTTATCAAAGGTCTTTTTCCCTTGTCACTGTCTTGCTCATAATATTTGCATAAATGTTTCCATTCTCTTGACTAACTAAACCCAGTGTTAGTCATTCACTTACCAGTTCCGCTTCACATTTAGAATGTGAATCTGAATTCATAAAAAATCTGAAGTGACATTTAAGGATACCTGGTGAACATGTGAATGTTGCATTTGAGAGTACTCTGCCCATGAGGGAAACTGGTTTTGACAAGTGTCTGAATTTCTCATTTCATTTATCTTAAATCATACTTACAAGTGGATTTAAAAACATGATTGGAAAAGTTCAGTAAGAATGATTAAAGGAATGTCTTTTCAGGCTGTGAGTCCCTGAGCAGATGAATTAAGAGCTCACTACTGCTCAGCCCTCCAGCTCCCCACTGTACAGTCCTGTCCCTTGTCCTTGTTGTAGTATGTACTGGAGATAATTAAAAACAACAGCAAAAAAACCCATGTGGGTGGATTTATCCCCCTGCAGTTTATCTTCTGTCAAGTGAATGAGTTAAATCACCTCACAGGGTCCAGTGAGTGCAAGCGGATCATGGGACTTTCTAAGTTCGTCAAAAAGGAACTGGTAAATCACCTTTCACAGGATGAGCTTTGACACAAGATTCATTTTCTCAGTGTAGCTGCTTTCTGACTTTGGATATTGAGTTTCAGGAACAAAACCACATTTGCTACCTGCTAGCCATGACGATTTCAAACCCTTGTAAGGATGGAAGCTGGCTTACCTCACCCAAAGGAAAGCAATGACCCTAAAGGCAATAAACACTTTCCACCTTCCAGCTGTGGATCCAAGGTAGCATTTGGAGCAATGGCATTTGGAAGTGTAATATTTAGGAGGAAACTGCATCTTCTCGGCATTACTGAAAGAACAAGAAAATAGCTTAATGTCATTATCTTGATGAATATTGAGAATGAAGGAAAGGAGCAGGACTCCATGATTAAACCAGGCAAGCTAAAATCCTGTCTGCTGACTATAGATGCCATTGGGAAATTTAGTTTCCTGCAAGAAAAGAGATCTCTGTGTGACAGAACTACCTACACACATATCCTTGGTGGGTTTGTCAGGGATAGCTGGCTTATTGTCCAGCTTTTCAGCAGGAAACATCATCAGTCTCACTGAAACTGTTGTTTCCTTGTGGCACTGGAACAGCTAACATAGCTCCTAAGTGTGGAGTGATCAACCTTTTTTCCCTGAGTCTGTAGTAAACTATGTGTTCAGATCAAACTTTTATTAAAATTAATTTGAATTTTATAAATATATATGTGGAACCAAAACCTATTTTTAAATTCTATTGAGAATGTACCATTCTGAAATAAAGACTTTACTTTGATTAGGAACAAACCTCCAAAGAATATTTTTACTACAACTTGTATCTTGGTGGACTATAGTTTGTTCCTGAGATCCCCAATATAGGGGAAAAAAAAAAAAAAAAGTCCTTTTCACTTTAAAAAGTTGGTTTTCCTTTGACTGTAACACTTTACAGGCTAAATGAAGCAAGGCTGATTTATTTACGTGGTACATTTGTGAACTAGTCGTGTATTATCTTTGTGAACCAAACTTAGTCTAAATAGGACTTATTCCACTTAGTTTACATTTCTAAATGTACCTGAAGAGGAATAAAGAGAAAAAAGATAGAAACTAGTAGGGGTAGAGAAGTCAAGAAATTGCAAAATCCCTGAGGTGCCATCTGCATTAGGGTTTGGCAGAACCAGTCTCAGGAAAGGTAGTCAGCTATGTAAACAGTACTGCCAGTGAACAAACCCACCCTTGTCCTGTTTGGTAATGAGGATTTAATTTGCTACAACTAAGTTTAAGTGCTTACACAGATAAGCAGCATTTTTTTTCTTTGATAGACATTTTAAATGACTTAACTAAGTTGGCCCTTGAAATTTATTTTAAGATAAATTATCATCTCTGCCACTGTGTTAAGAACAACTTGAAATAAAACCAGCTGTTTACAAGGGGAGATGGAGATAAAAAGTCAAGAACTGCAAGAATTCAGCCCCTTAACAAAGCATGAAGTATCCCATTGACTTCAGGGTCGTGATGCCACTCATTGACTGAACGTGGTATTTTGGGAGGAAATAAAAACCTACATTTACTGGCATCAAAATACCAAAATTTGGAAGTCACAGGCCATGCTTTCTCTACAGGATCAAGGCAGGGCTGCTCCTATTAAATAGCTGCAGTGAAATCCATGAAACTACTTGTATGTGTGGGAGAACTATAATCAGGTGATTCTCATTTACTCAGAGGATTATCATTTACTGTTAGACTCAGGGATAATTGGCAATTTCTGCATCATCTCCTAAGCCTAAACACCCTTGGCTTTTAAACCAGAAGCACTCTTACAGTGCTGGTGTTCTTCCAGCTGTTAGAGAGAAAATCGTAGTAAGTGTCATGTCTGATTGATTGTGAAGAAAGGACAGAGATGTTCTCCTCAGGTCTGAGGGACTGCTGTGGCTGACGAGCACTCTCTGTCCCTGCTGAAGGGGCTGCTGTGCAAAGAGCTGGCTGCACCAGATGTGCAAACACAGAGGTTAAAACTAAATTATTTGTCTGTTTATTGTGCTAATATCCTACTGGGAACTGTCCCATTCCCATTAGTTCCTTCCAGGTAATAACACTAAGGGGAGACATGATGAAACACTCAAGTTTGGATCTCTCGGGTTTTAGGGGAGGTGTACATCACAGCAGCCTTTAGAACTGAGCTAATCCACACGTGGCTTGGGAAATGCAAGCAATTTGTAACTGGATAAATAATGTTCAGCATTGATCAAAACCTTATCTTTCCCAGGCCAGAAGTCTACACAATTTATTTCAGGATTGTGACTTAACACATACAGGTCAATTCTCCAGGAATACAGGGCTCTCCATGTCTCCTGGGTCCCAACGGCTTTGCTACTGAATGTATTTCATGTTATTTTTACCTGAAAAACAAAAAATGGGTAGAGAATTAGGATATTACTTTTTATTATTTTCTTATTCAGTGGGACTTGCTTTTATTTAACCTGTAAAGAAATATATATGTATCTTTGGAGAACTATATCTTACTTATAGAATAATATATAAGAAATGGAACGACAATGGGATAAATACATCAAAAGGATTTGGTATCATAAATTTCATATGTGATTTGATACCACCAGAATCCTGGGCTGTACTAATTTCCTTACAGTTTCTATTACTTTTGTATTTTATATTATACATGGATGGTACTACCAATGCAAACCACAGCAGATGTTCCCAGATTTTTCTTCAGATCTCAGTTGTTGTCTTTCAGTAATCCCTGGGTTTTCAGTTCTGCTATACCACTCTCAAAAGCTGTGCCAGCAGCTCTCTTGAGCATTGGGAACTCTTGCTTTCCCATGGAAGAAGATTCTCTGGCTTCTTTGAACTGGGAAAACATGACATAGGAATGCAGAAAAGTTTCTAATCAAGCATAATCCATCTCCCTTTGTGTCTGCCATTCAGGTGGATTCACTCTAGCACACTGAAAACAGCAGCTTCAAATCTCTGTCATGACAACGAAGTTTTCTACATTTGGGGTTGCCTTTGTGATCTGGGTGTGTTCCAAGTTCACAAATCCTAAAGAGTTAGGAAAAAAAAGAGCATCACAGAGAGGTCAGACTTCCAGCTGAGAGCCATCCAGTACTACCACTGGATGCGTGGGTAACACATCCATGTATTATATAAAGTACAATGTGAAAATATAAGTGTAATGCTTGTTATTAAAAGTGCAATTCAATGTACATGGTCACAACAAATGTTTACTTTTTTAATTGTTACAGAATTGTTCAGGTCAGTACCTTGTTATCATTGTGTGAACGATGCCTTGTAAAATAAATGGAAATGGAAAACAACTTGGGAATAAGATGCTTATTTTCCTAAGCCATTTACTTAAGTAGCAGCTTAAATCTGTTTCCAGGAGGAAGCAGCTGCTGTGTCAGGTTTTATGACGCAGTTCTCACCAGCAGCTCTGTTGCACCGGGCACAGTGACTTGGCAGGTTGTCTGTCCAAAGGGAGTGCAGGCTAATTCCAGCCCATTCCTTAGGATAATGTGCTGGTCACAGGGAGCTGGGCCACAGAGCCAAGGGCTCACCCTGGCTCTCTGCTCCACGTGCCAGTCTGAGTTTTCCGGCACAGAGAATGATTTTCCTAAAGGTTGGTGATACACAGCAATGGGACAATAGGTAAGGACTTCATGCTTCCCTGGAGTACACAAGCCTTGAGGCAGCATGCCTGCGGGAAGAGACATGGGGGGCAGAAGGAAACAGCAGGACATTGGCAAGTGACTACTAAGAGAGAGGCAGGGCTGAGCAAGAACAGGACAGAGCAGAATGTACCACAGTCAAAAATATCCAAATGCTTTATAAAACCGTTTTTCCATGTGAGCTACTGCTCTAGGATTTCTTTTCTATTAACTGAGATGAACAGCCATTGTTGCCGGATAACAGCAAAAGCACACAGCGCTTCAGGGGAAGATAAGGCAAACAGGGACAAAAGCTGAAGATTAAATTTACCAGCCATAACATTTTGTATGAATTTACCTCCACATCACTATCCAAAGCATTTGTCAGGAAGGGAGGCAGCATCCAGATGCTGTTGCAGCTTTCTGCAAAGGAGAGCTATGTGGAGCTTGTTTTTACATGACAAGAGTGACAACTCTTCCACATGGATGCTGCCACTCAAGGGAAGTGTACAGAAATGTTCATCATTTCACATGTGTACAGCCATGTGTACAGAAATGTTCATCATTTAAGGAAACTAAATAAACACTTTAAAAAAAAACCCAACAAACTCTATGAAAGCATTTCCTCCTCTAGCCAGAACTTAAATTAGAAAGTGATACCAATTTAAATTGTAAAAATAAGAGCACTTGCTAATAATATAAGACCACAACTGAGTGTGGAGAAACTCAAAGATTAGTAGATAAATTAAATAACACAACATTTTTCCTTGTCTCAGGTGCTGCTACACAGGAAATATTATAAGGAAGTAATTCCTGAATAAGCAACTGCCTTAACCAATTGAACAAACGAACAAACAAAAACATGCCATAAAAATAAATTCCAGCTGACCATATTGTATTTCCTAGATCAAACCAACTATTCTGTTTCCAAATGCTATTCCTGAGGATGGTCAGGCTTACACTTAGTCCTATGAAAATTTATAATAACCACAGTTAATTTTGCAGATCTTTTCTCCACTGCAGATCCTGAAGCACTGCAGCAGAGGGTTATAATAAACACCTCAGTACAACATCTGTTAAAAGCACTCTGGGGAATGCCAACTTGAATACAAATCTTTGGCTTCAGGGCTTCTATAAATTCATTTTTGGCAAATTTCTTCTTCCCTCCCTACCTCTATAGATCTCTTAACAAATTAATTCCTGGATGTTCACACTACAAGAGAAAAAACCCCAGACCCTAAGCCCAAGCATCAGCAAATGGCCTGTCATTCCTCAGTCTGATAAAACGGTGTTATAACTGGCACCTTGTTCTAGAGAAATGGACTTTTTCAGCTCTGTGTTCTGCCTTGGGTCACACTTTATAAAGGACATCTGGGGGCAAACACTGCCTCCTCTACATTCTGGTGAAAGAAAGAATGCCATTGCTTTATTGTTTTCTTTCAGGGAAATTTTAATGCCCAGTGGAGCTATAGGAACTTTTTTTTGTTAGTGCTCACTGTGCTGACTTAGTAACAGTGTCAACATCATGTTTTTCTTTTGATGAGGAAAATGCTTAAAAGAGAATTTTGGTAGCATTACACCAGCATGTTTTTACATGTATATAGCCAAATGCTCTGTAAATAAAAGCTACATTTTCCTTCTAAATGGTAACAACTAAGTCTATTACTCACAGAGTCACTCCCAGAGTACACATCGTGACATTACAGGTCATCAGCAGTAACTTACCCTCTGGGTTTGTTGTAGAAAGCTTATTACTCATTAGTTGTGGGGGTCTCCTTCTGTGGTGCTGTGTGTTGAGGGCACTGTGCCATCCGCCCAACTTCTACTGGATTTGGTTGGTTTTTAATTGACAAAATCTTAGAACTTGAGAGCTTAAACCTTGCTGGAGTTGATCTTTTTTTTTGGAGTTATTTTCCAACCTTAATAACCATGAAAATGAGGAGCAGATAAAAACCATGGCACTTAGCTTACAAGCCCATCTTCCTTTAAGGGCCGGGAAGAGAGATTTCTTCCCCTTTGATCACTATTTACCTGCACAACATGAGCCTGATACTCTTTGCCTGAAGAAGGAAAACAACGCTTTATTTTGCAAAATTATTCGAGGACGTTGATAGCTACGAGCTCAGGGACATTTGCCGTAAAATAAGGGGTAGATTTTCTGACGGCCAAACTGAAGCCCAGGCCGTGCTCTCCTCAGCCGCCCGTCCCTCAGAGCCCTGGGGGCGGGAAAAGCCCCCGATCCCCCCCCGTCCCTCAGAGAACGCGGGCGGGGAAGCTCCTGGGTCCCCCCCGTCCCTCAGAGCCCGGGGGGCGGGGAAGCTCCTGCTCCCGCCTCCTCAGGGGCGGTGCGGGCGGGACCGGTACCGGTGCCGTCACTTCCTGGGCCGGAAGGTTCCAGAGGTTGCACGGGGAGCCGCCATGGCCGTGGCGCGGGAGGAGGTGAGGCAATTCCCGGCGTTGTTCCCTGGGCGCTGGCGGGGCTGTGTGCGAGGGGCAGCGGTGTGGCCCCGGCGGGGAGGCGGGGAGCTGTCATCCCCGCGTTCGCTGCGGGCTGTGGAGGTCTCCCCAGCGGCGGTGCGTGTTGAGGGAGCTGTGCCATCCGCCCCGCTTCTGTTGGTTTCTGTTGGTTTTTTTAGCGTATGAAGAGTTAAGCAATTAAGACAGTTGTCTTAACTGAAGATGTTGGAGGTATTTTCTAGTCTTGTGCTCTGAGATAGCCGTGGTTGAGCAGGGGAGTTGCACCCTTCCAGCCTTACCCATTCTGTGAATTAAGATTCTGTGGTTGTACATCTCTGCAGGAGTGGACAAGGGGTGAGGAGGGGATGATTCCGTGCTTAACGGGTTGTAGTGGGAAACTAAACTACTGACCTGATAAAGCTGAAACTCCAACATCTGGAACACGTGAAATTGTCATAAAAACTGTGAGCACTGAGCACAAAGAATGTATCTGATGTATAAGTGTGATCCTTTGTTTTTGAACCAGTTGCAGAAAGATTTGGAAGAGCTTAAAGAACTGCTTACAAATGCCACTAGGAAGCGGGTGCGTGATGTCCTTGTGGCAGAGAAACAAAAGCTGGAGCTGGAAATCAAGAATCAGCCTCTGCCGAAGCCAAAAGATGTGGCAGAGGAAGAAAAATCATCACTGGGAGGGTACACAGTGAAAATAAACAATTATGGTAAGATTATTTTTCTAGAGTTCCAGCATCTCTCTGGCGACAGCAGGTGGCATTACTGGGAGTTTGAGTTGCCATTTAGCATCATAGTGATGCCTTAAGTGTTTAATTCCACACTGGACACCCCTCTGTAAAAGCTACCTCACCTTTACCTTGCCATCCGAACCCTGGTGTGTATTGATCATGTTTGTGTGATAGTGTTTGGTGGGATGCATCAAGTATCCTTGCTGTACCAGCTGGTATTTTTCCATTACTTGGTGTTTAGCGGGAATGAAAGAGTAAGTTTTGGCTTCTCTGATTGCCATGTAGGTGAGAGGAGAGGGAATTACTCAAGATGCAGGGAGTAAGGGAAGAAGTGGGTCAGGGAAACTGCAGCAGGAGCAAACAGCTGGCTCTGACTCCCCCTGCACAGCCTGGATTGCTCTTTTTTGACCTGAGCTGATACATGGGTTTTCTCAGAATTTGCAGGCCTTGGAGAACAGGGCTGCGTGGGGGGACCTCCCTTTGCTCTAAAGTTATTCCTGAATAATTCATGTTTTCCTTTTATCGCTCTGAAAATTGCTTCAGTAAGGCAAAGACCCTACTTGTTCTAGGGGGCTTTGTGGGGCAAGTTGGCGTGAATTAAGCTTATGGAGAAAGGTGGAACTTAATCTCTTTTCTTCACTTCCAGGTTGGGATCAGTCTGATAAGTTTGTTAAGATTTACATCTCTTTAAATGGTGTCCAGAAACTTCCAGCTGAGAATGTGCAGGTGAATTTCACAGAGAGGTGAGTTCCTCTTGTAGCACAACAAGAGCACTGAAATGCAGGAGTGTTGGATATTTTTTTTTTCTCTACTCCCTTTTTTCTTTTTTTTAAACTTCAGCTGTAGTAGCTTTTAGTAGCACTTGAGGATATCAGGGTGCTTACATTTTACAAGTGCACCTCACGTTTGACAGGGCACATAGTGTTAGCCCTGGGCATTCGTAGTGATAGAGCGGAGGTGTACATTAAGGAAATTTGATTTTCCTAGTTTGTTGGTAGAAAAAATCCTAAAGATCTTGATTTGTTGTGCAGTTTGGATTGGTCCTTTTAATTTCTCTGTTGAAATTGAAATGAATGTTTTGAGAGCCCTGGGAATAAAGTAATTCAAGCCTGTTGGTCTGCTTTCCCAAGAATTACTCTGCTTTCCTAAAAAATATGCCTGCTAAAGGGTTTTCAGACAATGCAATGATTGGAACATTTGTGCCTTTCCTCCATCCACTTCCTGGGTCCAGGTCATTTGATCTTCTAGTGAGGAATCTGAATGGGAAGAACTACACCATGACCTTCAACAACCTCCTGAAGCCCATCTCTGTGGAAGGCAGCTCTAGAAAGGTCAGTGCACCTTGTCTGTTAGAGGTAATTTAGGGCCCTCACAAAGTGTTGTGTTCATTGCCTGGCTAGTTCAGGAGACTCGGTTCTAATGTTCAGTCCCTCCCTTCTGCTGCTGAGTTTCTGCACTGTGAACATGAGTCTTATTAATCTGTGATTGTCATAACTGTGGAATTAGTCTCTGGAATCCTATTTCAAGAGATCATGTCTGGATATTTAATAGCTCTCCAACAGGATTTCAGAAATAATTAAGCAGAAAATACCACCAAATGTTCATTTGCATATTTGTGCTTCTAAATACCTCTGAGAAATTCTTTGCGATTTTAGGAGATTTGTCAGCAGACTGAAATCTTGGGAAGCTTAAATAGGCTTAATTCCCAAAGCCAGGTCTGAAACCTGCTCTGCCTTAGTTAGGATGTTAGGATGCTTCAGAACTGAACACTGATGTGGTGGTTTTAGCCCTAGCAGGGGCTTTATTTTCTAAGGGAAAAATTAATTCTATCCCAGCCAAAACCAGGACAACTAGTAGTAACATTTTACTGCTGATGATTGGCGATATCCATACTCTGCTGCTGGTGGCACCTTTCTAGGCTTAGAGGTGTGCCATAATACTTCCTGTGACTTCTCTGTTGTGCTTGGTGACATCAGATGTGAACTACTGGTTCAATTGAAAATTGGCCTAAAATGAGTACAGAGTGAAGTTAAACCAGCTGAAATAAATGAGAGTGATGCTCTGGTGATTTTTGATACAGTGTGAAAGTGAGCAGTGGTCATGTACTTGTTAAGCCAAGCTAAAGCTGCAGTAGAACCTTGTCTGCTATGGCGTGCAGGAGTTCTTTGTGCAATTTAGGTCAGGGTTGAAGTCAGAAGGCTTTGTAACTTGCAAACATGTTGCAAGATTGAGCAACACCCTAAAATTAGTTTCTTATCCTTGGAGAAATAAATTGGAGGAGCCTCTACCTGAACTTGGTATGCTTGGAGAAGCCTTGTAAATATAGTCAGTCTTTACCAGGCAGTCCTGGCTACTCGAGCATCCTTTGAATCACTGAATGGTGTTCCTGCAGCATTTTATGTTCTTTCGTATTGGTTCCATAAGTCTGTACTAGTATTATATTAACCACATATGTGAATTGTCCAGAGCAGAGTTAATACTTTGTGCCCTGAGGCTGAGTACGTGCTATAATTTTTGTATGCTACATGATAATGGATGGCTGAGAGAAAGGTTTCAGGAATTCCGGAGTATGGAAGAGGTTTATGTTACAAGCTAACCTTTCTCATTTTGACTGGCATCCCATTATGAAGCATTCTAAATTCATGCCTTGCTGTTCACCATACAGATAAAGACAGACATGGTCCTTGTGATGTGTAAGAAGAAGCGGGAGGAAAAATGGGATTGTCTCACTCAAGTGGAAAAAGAAAGCAAAGAGAAAGAGTAAGTGTCTTTCCAGCCCTCCATCTGGTTTTCCATTTCTTGTTCTCTGTGTTGTTTAAGGACTGTTGGGAGAGATCTGTACCAACTGCAGTAATTCTGGGGAATGTTGGTCTGGGGGACAGGCCCTGAGATGTCTGAGGATCTTAGGATAAGATCTCCTGATGTTAGGTGGGGATTTCTTTTGGTACTTGTAGGACTGCAAGTGGAAGAAATTACTTTTGAGTAGATACTACTCCTCCACGGTTTTGTTGCAAATGACAAAGGCTGAATCATAGGACATATCATAGGGAAGACCTGCAGTGAGAATTCTAAAGGGAATCAACCAATTAAAGATTCATTTGCATTTTGGTGGCTGCATTCATTGCAAAAACTGCATTAGTGAGGTGATTATTTTTTAGATCAATTGTATATTATATAGAAATACATAGATGTATCTCCTGCAGGTCTACTGGTCGAAACAATTATTGTTACCTGTGTGTGAAGTGTCTGTACAAAAGTCCCAGCATGCTTTTGGCAGAGCAGGTCTAATCATCTTCTACTTAGATGATTTTCCAGAGTCTCAGGCCACTCTCTAACACTTCAAGTGCTAGGGAGCAGCAGGCAGCTTAGACATACACAGGTATGAGGGTGGTGAATGACAGCAGGAAACGCCTGGGGACAAGAGACTTTCTTAAAAAAAAAAAAAAATATATATATATATATAAATATGTATATCATATAATGATTTAATGTTATTGTACATGTATAGCCACCTTGAAGAATGAAAACACTATTGAGAATGTTATCCCTGCCAGCAATTAATTTTGTGTATGTTTGTGGAGTGATTATCTAAAACTGATCAGGCGTAAGTGCCTGAATTTAGGGCAAAACAGCCTTCTCCACTCAAATGCTATCACAGGAGATTTAAGAGGAAGTGACTTGACAATTAATGCAGTTTTCTGGAGAGACAGGGACACTTTGTTAGACCTGTGTCTTGTGCAGAGAATTCCTGGAGATTTACTGTTTGTCAAACAAACGGCTCCAGAAATGCTGGTCCCAGACAGGATCTGTGCAGCTGATGGTTAACCCTGAGTGTGAGGAAATTGCTCCCTCTGCTGATGTGTTTTCATCTGCTGTGTTTTTTGAGCTAGACTGCACTAGGAACTACCTACAGGATTTTGGAAAGTGTGATGGAGAGGACTTTAGCCAGAGAGGGCATTATTTATAGTCAGGTCATACGGGCCATTCCTCCACAGGTGGCACTATTCATCCCCTGAGAAAATTGCTTTGAAATGCAATGTGTTAAGCCATTTAACCTGTAGAGATCATGTGAAAAATGGGAAGCAGAAAAAAAGCCTTTTGGTTTGTGAATGTGGTCGCTAAAGAGCTTGATATAGTCATTTTTCCATTTTTATTCACTTGTCACATAACACAAGGCAGGTATTGGCATGTCCTGTGTCTGCTACATTTCACTTCTGCTTCCTACAGTTAATTTTGGACAGTGCTTCCAGGATCATGTTTACTGCAAATTGCTTCCCATTGAAGTACTGTCCCACCCCATGGGACAGTTCTAGCTGTACAACTCAGCTTGCTCTTGCTTTAAGGGTATTTCTTAGGATTCTTCCTATTTGGAAGCTGACTGAGACTGCTGTGATCTGAAGACTGCCAAAGCAAAAGTCCCGTTACCAGGATGTTTCAAACAAATATTAGCATTTAATTTTGTTGGGTGTACCTGACCTTCTCATGTATCCATCTTGCAGGAAGGCTGCCTATGACACCGCAGATCCTAGTGAAGGGCTAATGAACATTTTAAAAAAGATGTATGCGGAAGGGGACGATGAGATGAAGCGCACCATCAATAAGGCCTGGGTTGAAAGCAGAGAAAAGCAGTACAAAGGGGACATACCAATGGATATCTGAAAGTACTCTAAAGGCCGCCTTAAAACTGATCTTCCATGTGAGACACGCTGTGCTGCAAAGATCATCGTTTACATAACCTTCTTCCAAGCAAAGACAGTCATTTTCCATTTCAGGTTGGAGAAAATATTTAAATAAAATAGCTTATAAAGCATTTCCTTCAGTCAAGTGGTTCAGCATTTCCTGAGGAGTGAAGCATAGGGTGTACATCCTTACCCCTCCTTGAAAAATCATCTCAGATGAGTGGGGAGTGCTGTGAGACTGAGAACAGAACGTAAAAATAAAGGAATCTTAAAATAGGATGGGTCAAGGCCTCTGTTGCCAGTGGCAGCTGTACCCATGTGGTTGCTAGGGCTAGTGTCACACTCACTTCACAGGATGTAGCTTTTTGATTAAATACAGGAAAGTGCTGAACTGTAAAGCATGTCACAAAGGGAGAACTGAAGAAAGTAGAACCACATCCTAAGCACTTGATATTAAAACAGGAACAATATAGTGTTAATCCTGTGGTATTCAAATTTAATGAGTACTCTCAGAAACTATTCCTGTCTAATAAATACTATGAGTTTTGGAAATCAAAATGCTTGTGCCAGCTCTGAGCATCGTGGGATGTCTTTGAGATGCCATCAGTCAGGATGCAGTCCACAGTCAGCAGCAGGAGAGCAGGGACAGGGAGCTTGCCCTGGCTCCAGCAGTGTAAAGCAAGAAACAAGGGATAAGCTCCACTTTTTCCATCAACTTCGAAAGGGTTTTAAGGTAAGAAGTATATTAAGATGGCTTATATGCCAAAATATGACTCAGCTGGGTGTGGTGAGTTGCTGTTAGTTTGCTGTTAGTGGTATTTGGCCTTTTTATTGCGACCTCCCAGCCTCTGCTGGGGAGGGGGACAGAGCCACTGCCCCCCCCTTTACTGCAGTGCTTTGAAGAAGAGTACAGGACAAACATGACCTTAGCAGCAAGTCTGTTGTCAATTGTGTCCTTCCTGCCTCCTCCTCTTGTGTCTCCCAAGGACAGATTTGTTGTTACCTGTGAATTAAGGAAGCCATTACTCTCCTTTTAGGGTCTGGACTAGGGCTTCCTTGCAACCTTGTTCTTGAAGCATTGGACCGAGCGCTGCACTACGAACAGGATACATACCAGCAGAGTGTAGTTTCTAACAGGTCCTTTAGCCACTTTGTCTGCTCGTTAATACACATATAGGTTTAGTTAGCATAGCAAGAGTATCTGAACTTGAGGCCATGTTTTACTCCCACTCTGTGCTTGCCCTTGTTCACAGCAGAATACCACTTTGTCCTGTTGTGCAGTTTTATTGATGCTTTTACCCAAATTACCATGATGAACTTAACCGTATGGTGGCAAAAAAAAAAAAAAAATGCTTAAACGAGCCCTGTGCTGTATGTCTTTATTTCTAACGTTGGCCATAGCACAAACCTCAGCTAAGTTTTGCAACCATCCATTTTTCCTCACAAGCAAACTGCCTCTCATACAGACCAGTTCAGTGCAGTTGTGCTGCCGCTTGTCAGCTGATACCAGTTGTAATCCAGGGAGTTTAATAAATCAGCACAACTTCTTGTCCTTCCCTTGTTAGATTGACATTGATGCTGGACTCTGAGGCAGGACAGTCTTGCTTTCATTACACACACAAATGAGCCTGGTTTGTTTCCTCTGCCTGAAAGCACATCCACGTGGTGATTATTACCACATGGATCTCTGTACACCAGACATCTGAGCATGGTCAGCAAAGTGGCGGAAAACAATTCTGCTGAGCCTCCAACGCCGCTTAACCCCTCGAGGGCGGGATGTCAGGACACACCGGTTCCGGATCCTCGCAGGGCAGCTGTCCCGGGGCAGGGCAGCAATCTCTTTGTCAGCCACTTCCTAAAACACAACACAGCCCAAGAGTTTATCTGTGTTCCCTGGGATTTAGAGGGGCCTTACTGCCAGACTTCAAACTCCAGACAGAGTAGGTACCATCACAAGCTTCTCTACCACCTCATGAATAAACTTTGCTATTTAATTGTGAACTTTCACCTGTCTTCCTCACTCAACCCACCCTTTCTGGGCATTCCAACAGTGAATGTAAACTGATCCCCAAAGAGACCCCCAAATTAATCTTATTACACAGATAGAACAATCTCAAGCCACTAATTATAACCAGTCAAATCACCTTGTTTCTGTCCTTGTTTCAGGATGGGCTAGCCCTCTTAAGAAACCCCAAATTAAACCTTATTAAACTCAAGCCAGTTAGTCAAAAGAAACCACTTGGCTTTCTCCTCATTGCAGGCTTGGCTAGTCCTTCAGATGAGCCAAATTTAAGTATGTGTTGTTTATTAACTGTCTGCTCAGGTAGCATGCTTTGATGTCAGTAAAAGTGATCTCATACAGGGTACTTCAGAAGGTGTTGTAGGATTTTCTTTCAGGGCTTTTTTTCTGTATTGGTTTTGCCTCATAAGGACTTCAGCACCAGTCAGACAGGCCTGAGAACAGTGAAGTCAATATATAAAGGCAAACTGATACACTTTCTCTACCAGGATATCTAGGTGTCACGGCCAGAACAAATACAGGAATAATCTAATATTTGCAAATGTTTTTGGTGCTTAGTAAGGCAGGCTGAGAGCAGGGCAGTCAATTTATAATAACAGTTTTAACACCCAGATCTGATGCAAGTTTCACATTCTTGTAGCTCTGGCAAGAGGTAAAATTAGATATTTCTAATTGCACAGATTGGTGGTTTGGGCTAGATCCGGCATTCCGATTTTTAAATAAGAAAAAAAGATCTAGAGTTTATTCTGAATTATTGGAAGTAAAGAAAATAGGTTTGTCAATATATGTTAGGGGCAGTGTGTGGGGGGTGAAAAAGTGACTTCACTGTATGTAGTATTACACACACTGCTTACACAAGCAGTGGTTCCAAAAGACCCCACAGCCCAGTGCACACAACCTCCAGTCAGGTGAATATGCTGTTGTTGTAAACACCCCCAAAAAGCTGAAGTCACTGTAGAACATGACATAATTCTGTGCTTGTGGGCTGGGGAAACACAACATTTGTGACCTAGGACAGCCATTTAGATCTATAAAGTGCCTGCTGTGGCCTTGAGCACACCACAGCAGCAGGAGCCACATGTGGGTTCATGCCCTGGCTGGGCACAGCCAGCTGCTGGTACCTGCAGCTCCTTGGGAAGGATGGAATTCTTCCGGATGGCGTTGATCCGCAGCCTCTCATCTGCGTGCTCGTATGCCATCTTCCTTCTCTTGACGTCCCGCAGCATCCTCCAGTCCACGTAGTAGCTCCGCACCTGCCTTGGGCAGGGTGAGGGAACAACCTGATTTTAAAAAAAACACATTTTTGATACCTGCCTATTACACATAGTTTGCCTATTCAAGTATAAACTGTTATTTCAGTAAAGAATGGAATATCCTGAGTTGGAAGGGACCCACAAGTACCATCGATTTCAATGCCTGGCACCAACACGGCCCCCACCATGTACCTGAAGAGCCCGTTCCAGTGACCAACCACCCGCACAGGGAAAACCTTTTGCTAATATTCAGCCTGACATAGCTCCAGACGTTCCCTCGGGTCTTGTGTCTCCGGCATCGTTTACTCTTGGATCACACGTTACACTTCTGACACCTCATCGCTGTCTACATCTTCCTCACGAGGGGCAGCACCGATCTTTGCTCCCTCTGACGAGTAAGTGATGCCTTGAGAGCTTTAGCTTTCATGTTTTCCAGATTCTGTACTGCACCAACATATAACTCCGAACTTCACATAAAGTTCTCTTCACAGAGAGACACAGAGCCCCAAGCTACACCGAACGCTACCTAACACCGGACCCGCGATATTCCCGCACCGCGGGGGCAGGGCCGAGCCCCCAGCGCTCAAACACTACCCGCATCTCCCCTGCCCGCTCCCTGGAGCCCCGGCCGGGCGGGCAGGGTCCAGGAGAGTCGCGGGGAAGCAGGGTAGGAAGAATGGAGGGGAGGGAGTCGGTCTGACCTGCTGAGCCGCCCTCAGCGCCCAGCACAACGCGGCCGCCGCCATCTTGCTGCTGCGCCGCGCGTGCGCGCTGTGAGGGCGGGTGCTCGCCCTCAGGCCGCTCCTCAGGGCGCTCCCAAAGTGCCCGGCGTTTTTAACACTCTGCGGCTAGAAATGTGGTGAGAGCCCCAGCCGAATTTGAGGGCTGTGCTATATATATATATATATATACACACACACATATATATATATCTCGGTATCAGAGGTGCTGTTAGGGATCGCTCGCACCGCCCGTTATTGGAGACAGCTGAATCTGCCACACAAACATCAGAGGCCGGCCTTGGTGCAGCCAAGGTATCCCAGGTTGAAGAGGAACTGCTGTAAAAATGACAGGGAAAGTTGCAGGAAAATTGGTACAGAGGCATCGCCCCGCCATTGTGAGGTCCCTGTCTGGAACAGCGCGTCCTGTCCGCTTGTCCTGCTGTGGGACACGGATCTGCCAGCAGCTCTACTAAAGGCTAGGCTAGCTCTGTTTCTTAGGGGTTTTTTGTTTTGTTCTTTTTTTTCCTCTTGTTTATCACCAGGACTGTTCCTAAGTTCCTAAATTTATACCTGTGGTTTGCAGGTTTTTTTTTCCACCAGTGAATTTAGAATCTTAGAGTATCCTGAATTGGAAGGGACCCATAAGGACGATGTAGTTCAACTCCTGGCCCTGCACAGGACAGCTCCAAGAATTCTACCATGTGCCTGAGAGTGTTGTCCAAACTCTGTCAAACTTGGTGCTGTGACTGCTTCCCTAGGGAGCAAATCCCAGTGCCCCACCAGCCTCTGGGGTAAGAAACATTTGCTAATATCCAAATCTTTGGGTAAGTTACACAGCAAACACTGAATAATCATAACCCCAAACAGAGAAAAACAAATGGGAATTTCTGCTTTCATTGTTCTTGTTCGGTGAGGGAAATGGTCCTGTCCCACTGACTGTGACTTTGCTTAAGCAGCACTTTAAATATGTCTATTTCCTGATTACAGGGAAAACATGCATCACAGTTTTGATGTTGAATTCATAGTTTTCTGTTTGTATCAGCTCAGCTACATTCAAAGAGTCATTCAAGAAGCTGGTTCTCTGTTTGTCAAGCTGCTTGTTGTTTTACGTAGATGTTTGGTATATTATACTGGTTCAGAAGTATGTAATAATCTGGAAGAAGTAGCTAGGTTGGCTGACTAATCAAATTCTATTATCCATGCTACAGTCAGCAGCTTTCCTAGGTGCTTACTGTGGTAACTTACTGCTGTTTGCAAGGGGAGAATTTCAAGCTTTGTTCTCTGATGTAATCGTCTATAACTTGCTATTTATCCAGATGGTAAAATTAATTGGTAGAATATCAACAGAGGAGATAAAATAGATGTGATCATAGGGGATTTGGATGTTACAGCATGCATTCTTTTCTGCAATATTTTGTATTTCACTTCCCCTTTTGTGTTTATTAGATGGTCCAGATGTGGAAGGAATGAGTGAGAATGCAAAGGAGAACTATTTCTTCAGCCAGGCCTGACTCCCTTGCTTGCTCAACAGCATCACCTGCATGATTGGCACTTCCCCAGCTG